ACAGCACTATGCTCTGTCCTTATAATAATGGAGAAAACGTTTCCTGGTTCATTTTATAGCTAAATTTAAAATTTCAATACCTTCCTCTAGACAAACCAAGGGTCGCTAATATTTCAACCTTGTTAGTTTGGCGATGAAAGCTTTCATTTGACACGAATATGTGCCATTTTTTCGCCGGACAATACAAACACCTCCACTGTTAGAATCAACTAATAAATTCATAAAATAAATCAATTTTTATACATAGACTTATGACATCCCTTATGAATGATGAGGGTATGAGATGATATGAGCTGTATTCACATCTATAAGAATCCTACCTTTGATAATCCATCATACTCGACCATTTTCTGCTATATACTATCAACCTAAGATGAGTGATTTTCAACTTTTTTATTTATCCCTCTTCTATTCCTACTTGATCGCTGTTCCAATATCTGGAATTCTAAGATTTAAAAGATCTGTGTGCCAAGACATGCATCTATGTAAAACTTTATCATTTATATTTCACGCCATTCTTACATTTTATCACGTGTATGTGATGTCTTCCTTACATTATATCACTTGTTATCCTTGAACTGTATCACTCCTATTCTACGTCGCTGTAGTATGATGTCATCCTCATATATCTACATACTACTGCTCTTAGCGTTCAGTACTTCTTCATTGTCATTGTAATTGTTCTGTTATACACTGTTTTCTGTCAACGCTTGTGCAATCGTTGTGTTACATTCTGTATATGTTCTCTCTCTTTACGAGAAGGTTAAGGTGAAACAGAAAAAGAGAAGAATGAAGAATATGTTCAGTCGATGATAGTGTGTGGTGAGAGTAAGATTGAACAACAATATATACACATGTGAGTGATACACACAGTAATGTATAACTTTGTATGTAAAATAAGATTAGTGTTGTTAGAATAAATGAGCAAGTAATAGCGACAAGTAGCGAAAGTGTACAGAAACCAGCAGAAATTACGACAAAGTCAAGAGCTTTGTGTTCATTATAACCATTATCCATTACATTTTTTTCGCTACAATCTGTAACTCTGTAATTTAAATTCAAAAGAGGTTATACTTTCATTATGAGTTCTGTTTTGTATTTGTATATCTTGAACTATATTAAACGTTATTTTTTGAGAGGTTTTTGAAAATTATTCATTGAATGATATTACAAAGTGTAAGTTCTCTTAAGAAAAAAGCTCTGTATCTATCAAGTTGATTCTTTTATTTTTCTTTTTATCTGGCTTGAAGGAGAGAATGATAACACTGCAGCATAAACATGTGGAAATGCGTTGTTTTTTATACGAATCTACTTTATCACTTACGTTATTTTTAAGTTAAAGTATGCAACCATGATGGTCCTCGTTACAGTACTACTCAGTTTTACTTCATTGTGGCTAGGTTTCCCCTTATTAACATGCGTTGCTTCCGATGTTCTTCCTTTATCGAAGCGTTTGACTGGTTCTCGTCCAAATATCGTATTGATAATGGCCGATGATATGAGTTGGGGTGATTTGGGCGCGAATTGGCCCAATACACGTGATACTCCATTTCTTGATTATTTAGCGTCCATTAGTATCCGTTTGCCAGATTATCATAGTGGAGCTTCCGTTTGCAGCGTTAGTCGAGCAGCTCTATTAACTGGACGATTAACTCCACGTACGGGTGTTTGGAGGAATTTTGCTTCAACTGCCCTAGGAGGACTACCAGTTAATGAAACAATCATTTCAGAACTTTTAAAAAGTGTTGGTTATACAACGGCTATTCATGGTAAATGGCATCTTGGACATCAACCTTCATTTCATCCATCATACCGTGGATTTGATGAGTATATTGGTATTCCATATAGTATTGATATGGGTTGTACAGATAATCCTGGAGCTAATTATCCACCCGTACAAGTTTGTCCTAAAGATCCGCCACTTTATTTCGAACAAAAACATGAACATCCAGATGATCTTAGAAAAGTTATTGAAGCTGATTTAACAGTCGGTATACCATTGTATCAATGTCTTACACCTCGATGTCCTAATGATAATTGTAATAAAGAAATTATTGAGCAACCAGTTAATCTTTCAACGTTAACACAATCATATATTGATAATGATCGACGATTTATTCAACGTAGTGTAGAAGCAAAACAACCATTCTTTCTATATTTACCCTTATCACACATGCATGTACCACATGATTATGCACAAAAGTTCAAAAATTCGAGTATTTTACCAAGTATTTATGGTGATACACTACGAGAACTTGATTATCATGTCAATCAAACGTATCAACTATTAAAAGATTTAGATATTTTAAATCAAACACTATTGATCTTTACTAGTGATAACGGACCATGGTCATCAAAATGTGACTTAGCAGGAAGTTCAGGACCATTTGTAGGTGCTTGGCAAGCGTTACCAACACCTTATGGAGGTGGAGGAGGAGGCACAGCAAAATTCACAACATGGGAAGCAGGACATCGTGTTCCATTCATTGCACATTGGCCAGGCATGATAAAACCCGATACAGTCTCAAATGCTCTTGGATCACATTTGGATATAATGCCAACGATTGCTAATCTTGCTAACTTTACTTTACCGTCAAATCGAAGTTTTGATGGAATTGATCTGGGATCAGTGCTTTTTGATGGTTCCGATCAAGGTCATGAAGAACTATTTCATCCAGATATGTTTGGCTTACTGTCAGCAGTTCGTTATAATCAGTATAAAGCTTATTATATGACCTATTCTGCGATTGATGGAGCATGTGGTGGTAAAGAAGGCTTAATCATTCCACATAAACCACCTCTAGTTTTTGATCTTAGTCGTGATTTAGGTGAATCTACTCCAATATCGGTTTCACAATCAGTGTACGATGCAATCGATCAAGTATTACAAGCAAAATTAAAAGATATTGCCTCGACACCACACACACAAGTTGATTATCGGATTGGAGGATTAGATGCACGTGCTTGTTGTGATGCAGGACATATTGTTTGTCGTTGTACAGACTACTTGTTATGACTTTTTTTGACAAAACGAATTGACACTATGAATAGACAAAAGTAGAATACGTATATGAAAAATCCTCTTCAGAAATCTAGGTTAGAGCGCAACGTTGTATTGTTTTCCATAACATGCAAAAACTTTTACAAATAATTTTCATCGTCCATAATAGATGATTTTTTATTGATTATCTAAGATTTTGTTAATACGAAACCTGTTTTATGTTATTTATCACCTGTTACAACTTGAAAATTGTTTTGTTCTTCTATTATCAGATTTTTAAAAGAAGACTCTAGACCTGTGCATATGTAGAAAGCAACGTTTTTTCAAGTGTTTTCCATGCTAGCTTTGTGGACGAAACTTAGAAAAAATATTTCGTGCTCTTCCAAATGGTATCAAATTAGTTACTTGACTTTACTTTTTTCGTAGAGTTACAGCCATTTTATTCAAAAGAGCATGCATAGGAGACTTTTCATTCATGGAAAAGAAAAAAAGATTTCTTTTCTACAGAAACTAGTCAGACACATTTAATAAGATCTAGCTTAACATGTGTCTCGTAGCTTGTTCTCTTCTTTTGCCACCATTCAAATCGGTTAACTAACGCAATTCTTTTTCAGACTTACATCTACCACATGTTTTTAGTGAAAATTTCTTGTTATTGATTTTGTCGAAAGTGAAAAAGATAGCCCAGTTATTCTACTTTATAACGTCGGTGAATCTCCTTTTCAAATGTTAAACATTTCAAAAATTACCAAAGCATACGTTAATGGTATTATGAAAACAGGAAGCAGAGCAAGAATAACAGTCAAAATAAGAAAAGAACGTAGTTCTTCATCTTCGTAGTCGTACCATGTCCGGTGTCACTTCGAAATCTTGAGCATCTTCTCCATCTCCCTCATATAGTAAGAAACAAATTTTTTATTTTTGGTGGATTAATCAGAGTCTCGCAAAACTGTCTTAATAGAAAAGCAATTTTGAACTCTTAGAGGCTAGCGATGGATTTTCCCAGAAGCTCATTTAGTTTCAAGGGTAATTGGAGACCTTCTGCGTTCTTCTAGATATGTCTATTGGTTACAGCCAATAATAATCTAATATCCAACATGACCAGAAATTTCCACCTTTAGGTATTTGGAGTCTACCAAATCTCAAATATCGCAAGTTAGAAGTTTTCATTAAATCTGGTGTTTGTTTCAATACATATGAAAAACTTTCGATGTCATTTGTCTGGAATAACTCCTTGCATATCGTCTTCAACAGTTTCTAAGTTCCCAGGTCGAAATAGCTATGTCGGATCCTGTTGGATAGGTTTCAAATCCGTTGAGATACGACTAATCGGATTCGGTCGGTTACTTTTTGTCGGATTCCGATGCTATCCACTGTTTTCCTTTGATATCCGCCGGTCGGATTCATCGAGCTCTGACTAGATTCATATATTCGGAACTGGTCAGATCCGATCTCAAGATCTGTTCGCTTCCGATGGGATTCCGGGGAATCTGATGTCAAGAAATGGCCGGATTTTGCAGTTTCAAATGACACCGGATTCCATGATAAAACCGATCAATCACTGGTATCGGAACTTGTCAGATTATATAAGAATGCAGAATACCCAAGCCGATCTCACACCATCGGATCCGATGGAAATTAGTCGGAAGTTGTCGGATGTTGGAAAGTGTCGGATTTTCAGAGTTCCGACAAGATCCCGGCCACTTTCGACACTTTCCGACATCCGGCAACTTCCTGTCGGAAGCCGATACCAAGGATTCCGACGAATTGCCATCGGATTCGATAAAATTCGATAATTTTTCCGATAGGATCCGACGAGATCCGACTGTCAAATTGTTCGTTCTGGGTATCCAGTATTATTTTCGACGTAGTCAGATTCATGAATTAGAATATATTCTGACAGATCAATCAGCTAATCATCTAATAAGATGTTTCTCTTTTTACAAATTTTCAACAACAAAATCAAAAATCTGGAAATCCGATTTCGTCCAGATTTCATTCACC